ATACAAGGAGACTTCTGTGGCACCTGGAAAGCATTTTAATAATTGATTTTAATAATTACTTTCTGTATGGCAAGAAAACAAAATGCAAAAAGCTGATTGACTTGAAAAACATTCCATAAATAACAATGCTGATAATATATAGATATGCCAAAAATTATATGGTATGAAGACGGAGAATGGAGTCTGAACTTTTAGTATGCCATTCTGATTTTGGTGGATCAGATATTAATAAAATGAAGTTGCATTGTTACAAGTTTTGCTTATATCCCTAATATGAATGTTTGAATGCCTCCATACTCTTCTGAAAGAGTGTTTTGTATAAAATCTTAGCGGTGTGTGTATATATGTATAAATCTTCAAAGGCCTCAACGTTTTTTCATTATTTTTATATATATACTTTTTAAATTATTATTAATTTTAATGAAAGTTTACAGAGACTTTGGATTTCTATTCATTAATTGTTGCACTTTTTCCCTGCCCCCCACCCCATCTCAATGTTTATAAGAAATTACAGAGGACATTTTTTTGTTGTTACAGAATGTCATACCCAGGCTATCCCCCAACAGGCTACCCACCTTTCCCTGGATATCCTGTAAGTATTTCCATTTATAATACTAAAATCGCACATATACTTGGAATGACTGTTTTAAGAACTAGCCCATGGTAGATCTCACAGACAATTATAGAGCAGGACTCATAAAGTCAAGTGCCTAGAGGGACCTAGTAGAAAGTAGGATAAGTGAGTGAAGAAGGGCATAAAAGGGCAGCTGGAGAGTCTCATGTATGGAAAGCCAGAGGTGACTCAGCTGTAAATTGATGTGACCATCTGGGCAGGAAGACCTAATGTTGTGGCTTGATATTCCAGTTTTTGAAGTAAAGCCAGAAATCTGGATTTTGTTTGAAATTTACAGATTTTTTTTTTAAGTTGGAAGTGAATTTTTAAAGTTAAATGCTTTATGGATTATAAAATGTACCATGGTGGTGGTGTGTGCTATTGAGAATTGTTTATGTACCCCAAAGCCCCCACAACTAAACTGTACTTTGTCAGTTATCTTAGTCAGGATAGATGACCAATACACTCTAAAGATTTAACACAATAACAACCCATTTCTTGTTTACCGTAGTCTCCTAGAAATCCATGAGGGAAGGGGTTGTCAAGGTGGGAAGGTGATTGTTTGGTACTGTTTTATAGGTTTCTGCAATCCGTCCATATCTTTACTCTACCATCTTCTGCTGCCTTGGAATGCTCCACTGCTCCCTTAGCTTCTGCTGGCAGATGAAGGGAAAGGAAAAGAGTGTAGAAGTTTGGGGAGAATGTCTTTTATGGACCAGCCTGGAAATGTCTTGTTGTTGGTTGGTTATTTCTCTCCATATTCATCAGTCAGGTGGCTCTACCTGTGTGGTGGTGGTGGTGTTAGGTACCGTCGAGTACAATTCATAGTGACACTTTGAACAACAGATATGAACTCTGTCCTATCCTGTGCCATCCTCACACATACTAACACTTTTAAGAGCCCATTGCAGCAGTCACCATGTCAGTCCATCTGGTCAAGAGGTCTTCCTCTCCTTCACCAACCCTCTGTCTTTCCAGCATCATGTCCTTTTCCAAGGAATGACCTCTCCTAGCAACATGCCTGAAGTATGTGAGGCAAAGCATCATCATCTCTACTTCCAAAGAACACTCTGGTTACACCCTCTCCAAGATGTATTTGTTCTTTTGGCAGTCCATGAGATAGATATTCAGTACTCTCCAATACTACAGCTCAAAGGCATCAGTAGTTCTTCTGCCATCTGTATTCATTATCCGGCTCTCAAATGCATAGCAAGTGATTGGAAAAACCGTGGTCTAAATCAGACACACCTTAGTTCTCAAACTGACATCATTACTCTTCAGTAATTTGAAGAGTTCCCTAAATGCAGACTTTCCCAGTGCAATATGTCTCATTTCCTGACTGCTGGTACGAAGAGTGTTAATTGTGGATCCAAGTAAGATGAAGATATTGAGAGTTTCAATCTTTTCTCCCATTTGTCATGATGTTGCTTATGAGTCCATTAATAAGATTGCCCATCTCCTGCATTAGTCAAATAGACGCTCCAACATGTAGAGTCAAAGAGGAAGAAATTGAAAATTTTTACCAAATCTTATAGTCCAAAATTGACCGAATATGTAGTGAAGATGCGTTAATGATAACTGGTGACTGGAATGCAAATGCAAAAGTTGGAAACAGTAAAGAAGGAATGTTGTTATTTTGTGCTTAGTCACGGGCGATCCATTGCGACCCCCCCAAGGTACAGCAGCTCTGAACCCTTCCCTATCCTGAACCAGTTTCATCGTAGTTGGAAAATAAAGGCGTGGTGATAGAAATGAGACTGGAAATAGAATGATCAAATTTTGTATTTTTTTTTGTGTGTGTGTGTGTACTGTAGAGTCAGATCCAGCTGCCATAGGAGGAGATTGCCCCTCCTACAGCGGAGCATCTGGTGGATTCAAACTGTATGCCTTTGGGATTGCATCACAGCTTCTTGCTGCTAGACCACCAGAACTCCCTCAGAGTTTGTATTTTCAGTGGTTTAGTCATTCCAAGAAATGAGACTGGAAATAGAATTATGATCAAATTTTGTATTTTCAATGATTTATTCATTACAAATACCTTTTTTAAAAGACAAAAATGGTGACTTTACACTTGATGGGCTGAATAGCAATCAGATTGACTACATCTGTGGAAGGAATTGTTGGATAAGCTCAACATTGGCAGTCAAAAGGTAAGCCAGGGGCGAATTGTGGGTCAGACTGAAAATTACTCATGGTCAAGTTCAAATTGAGGCTGAAGAAAATTAAAAGTCATGAGAATCAAAATATCTTGAATCTCTTCCATCTGAATTTCAAAATCATCTTAAGATTTCAAAGGGCAGAAGACAAAGCAAAGTGTTAAAATGGAATGTGCAGAGAGCTGGAATTGGAGAATAAAAAGGGAAGAATTCGCTCTGCATTTCTCAACCTGAGAGAACTGAAAAAACAAATTTAAGTCTCTAGTCGTAATACTGTAAGATGCTATGGGCAATATATTGAATGACCCAGAAAGCATCCAAAGAAGATGAGGGGCATCACAGAATCAAAAAGAACTGACTGACACTGAAGAATTTTAGGAAGTACCATATGAGCAGAAGCCAATAGTAATGAAGGAAGTGGAAGCTGTACGAAGGCATTGGCAAAAAAATAAGGCCATAAGAATTGACGGCTTATTTCAGTTAACAGACTCAACCTTGATGCACTCCTAAGTCTATGCCAGGAAATTTGAAGAACAGCTATCTGGCCAGTGGATTGAAAGAGGTCCATATTTGTTCCCTTTCCCAAGAAAGGTAATCCAACAGAATATGGAAACTATTGAGCAATATTATTATCACATGCAAAGAAAATACTGCTGAAGATAATTGAGAAATGGCGGGAACAGTACATAAATAAGGAACTTCCAGAAGTTAAAGCAGGATTTAGAAGAGACCATGGCACTAGGGATAGCATTGCTGATGTCAGATGGATCTTGGCTGAAAGTAAAGAATATCAGAAGAGTGTCTTATTTATGTTTTATTGACTATGCAAAGGCATTTGAATGTGTGGATCATAACAAGTTAATGGCTAACATTGAGAAGAATGAGAATCCCAGAGCACTTAATTGTGCTCATGCGAAACCTATACCTAGACTAGGAGGTGGTTGTGCAAGCAAAGCAAGAGAACACTGCATGTTTTAAAATTAAGAAGGGAGTGTGTCAGGGTTGCATTCTCTCTCCATATCTATTCAGTCTGTCTGCTGAGCAAATTATTCAAGAAGCTGGACTCTGTGAAGAGGAATGTGGGATCAGGATTGGAGATAGACCCATCAATAACCTGTATTATGCAATTGAGACAAACTTTCCTCCTGAAAATGAGGAGGACTTCAAGCACTTGTTAAAGATCACAGCCTTCAATATGGATTCCATCTAAGTCAAGAAAACAAAGGGTCCTGAAAAAAATGTAGTCTAGCTTTCTTCCCAGGAGAGAAAATGCTTAGTGAACAATTAATCTCTGCCACACGTAGGTATTATCTGGTCTGTTTAGGGGAGCTCTGATAGCCAAGTGGTAAGGAGTTGGCATTGGCAACCCAAAGGTATGCAGTTCAAATCCACCAGCAGCTCTGTGGGAGAAAGATTGGCAGTCAACTCCTGTGCGAAAAACTGCCACTGAAAACCTGCTGGAGAGTCAGCTGTGGTTTAGTTTGGACGCACCAGCACACAACAGCACTGATCTGAATTCGAGAAATAGTAACTTACCCAAGATGTGACATCTCCCCCGACCTATCCCTGTGTTGGAATTCCAGATATATTGCAACAGGGTCATGGATATCTTTCTTGGTTAGAGTGGAAGATATTCTTCCTATTTATAGCTGTCAGGGAAATGAAGGAATTAATGAGTTTAGCTCATTTTCCTGAAGCCTTGATGTTTGGAAGGACTATTGTTCTCAAATAGAGAAACTCAGACCTCTTACCTGACTCAGGGAGAATTAGTTTTTTTTCCCTGTTTGTTTGTTTTTAATTTTTAAAATTTTTGTGTGTACCATCAAATTGGATCTGACTGGTACAGGAGGAGATTGTCTCTCCTTCTCCAGCAAAGCATTTGATGGAGTTGGACTGCATACCTCTGGGATCGCAGTGCAGCTTCTTGCCACTATGCCACCAGAGCTCTCCAGGTAGAATTAATTAGTTTTAACTAAGCTCTTACAAACTAGTATAGTATTAAACTATTGATAAATAGTTCACTCCCAGTGTCCTTCTTTTTGAGATGAAGCATATTTTTGTCCAGTCACTTAACTTGAAATTTTCATTTTCAGCCTCCAGGTCAAGAGTCATCATTTCCCCCTCCCGGTCAGTATCCTTATCCTAGTGGCTTTCCTCCTATGGGAGGAGGTGCCTACCCACAAGCTCCAACTGGTGGCTACCCAGGTGCTGGAGGCTACCCTGCCCCTGGAGGCTACCCAGCTCCTGGAGGTTATCCTGGTGCCCCACAGCCAGGAGGAGCTCCATCCTACCCTGGAGGTGAGTTATTTAACTCAGCATTAATGAGGCTAGTAATTAGCACTTTTTTCTTCCCCCTGCATCTTTTATTTTTGCTTGTTGTGTTTGAAGTCAGAGTTGCACTTAACCTTATGACTCTATACCTTAGACAGTAATGACCCAGCTGGCATTTAGAGAGGCAGATTCTTAGGAAGCATGAAAACTGAGTCCCCTATGATCCATGGTTTATTATTACTGTTATTATTAGGTGCTATCAAGTACAACTAATAGCGACCCTGTAAATAATGGCTGTGAGCCCTGTCCTATCTTGTGCCAACTTCACAATCTCTAACACACTCCAGCCAATGGCTGCAGTCACTGTGTCAGTCCACCTGGCCCCCTCTGCTTTGCCATCCCTCCATCTTTCCAAATATGGTATCTTCCTCCATTGAATAACCTCTCCTAGCAGCATGCCGAAAGTGAAACGAAGCTTTGCCATCCTTGTTTCCAAGGAGTGCTCTAGCTTCACCTCCAAGACATGTCTGTTCTTTTGGCAGTCCACGGGATATTCAGTACTCTTTTCCAAAACCACTACTCAACTCAGAGGTGAAGGGAATTGGGATTAATCTCATGTTCATATAGAATCAATATATAAAACTTTGGTTATTTACAATCTTGAGAATTGATTAAGATAATAATAGCAACAAAATAGCACCTGTTTATTATTAGGAACCATTGTGTATCCTCACATTTTTAATATAATAGTTTTTTGGGGGGTTAGTTCATAACTATAGATAACCCTGGAACTACCTATATACTTTAGGATGACTCTGAATTAAGGACTGCTTTTTCAAAGTAGAAAGAATTTATTTTCTAGTATAAGTTAGTAAGGAAGATGAATAAAGAAAAAATTATATAGAAATATTTTTAATAGAAAAGAGCTAGTGTGAAGCTGAATTTAGACAAAAGGGGACCGCTGTTATCAAAGAATCAGTAACTCATTTTTCCCCATAATAGTGAACATCTTAACATTTTCTATGAAGTGTTGTCAAAGTTTATGTAACAGTTTTTCTGTTTCCAGGCCCCGGGTTTGGAGCCCCACCAGTTGGAGCCTATTCTGGCTATCCACAGCCGCCATCACAGTCATACGGGGGTGGCCCTGCACAGGTTCCAATGCCAGGTAGGTACCACTTGTACAGAGGGACACAATTCATATTTTCATTTGTTGCTGAGTGTATTTAGTTTCTATCCGAAATTGGCTTTGTTGTTATTGTCATGTGCCGTAGAGTCGCCTGCGACTCATAGCAACCCTATGTACAACAGCCCTAAACCCTGCTCTATCCTGTGCCAAACTCACTGTCTCAAGCACACCTGCCTTCATTACCCCAGTCACTGAATCAATCCACCTCATAGAGGGTCTTCCTCTTCTGTGCTGTCCCTCCACTCTCCCAAGCATGACGTCTTTCACCAAGGACTGGTTCCTCCTTGCAGCATGTCCAGTGTATGTCAGACGAAGCTTCAGAATCTTTGCCTCCAATGAGCAGCCTGGTTTGGTTTTTTTTTGTTTGTTTGTTTTTTTGTTTTTAGCCTGGTTTAACCCTCTCCAGGATAAATCTGTTCATTCTCTTAGCAGCTCATGGTTTATACAGTACTCTTCTCCAACAACCACAGCTCAAAGGCACAAATTCTCCTTCTATCCTTCCTAGTCATTTTCCAGCTCTCGGACGCATACATAGCAAGTGATTGCAAAGACCATGGCCTGTATCAGCCGTACCTTAGTCTCCAGAGTGATACCATTGCTCCTCAGTAATTTGGAGAGGTCCCTAACAGCAGACTTTCCCATGATCATTTATGCTAAGTACTGTTGTTGATGCCTTCCGCCAATGCTTTGGGGTCTGCCCTGGACAATGCAGCCTGAGGTTACCGGTGTAAAATCTGGCAATCAGCAAAAAAACCAGCAGACCAATTGACATATTTCAACAAACAGACACTGGCCTGGATGTGCTCACTAAGTTGTGCCAAGAAATTTGGAGAACAGCCAGCTGGCCCATTGACTGGAAAAGATCAATATTTGTTTCCATTCCAAAGAAAGGTGACCCAACAGAGTGTGGAAATTATCGAACAATATTATTGATATCACATGCAAGCAAGATTCTGCTGAAAATTATCCAAAAACGTTTGGAACAGTATGTCAACAGAGAACTGCCAGATGTGCAGGCTGGATTTAGAAGAGGTCGTGGTACTAGGGATA